CTTCCAAATTACTGAGCTAGTTTTATTTTTCTGAACGTCAGTCGCAGGTTTGGGGATATAGGTTTGTGTAACAGGGATCTAGAACTCTGTGCAGACAGAGGGACAAAGGATATTATTACCAGTGGGAAAGAAAGGAAGGACGGGAGCTTCAAAGAATGAGAAAAAAGAAAGGTAGGAAAGGTGGTAGGTAGGAAAAAAGAAAAAGAAAGAAAAAAATGGAGTTACAAGGTGTCAGTTGATCACTTTGCAAAGTAGTAATTTTTCTGTCACTTTAGACATTCAAACAGAGGCAGAACAGCCTCTGTATTCATTTCCTACTGGGGCTATAACAAAATATCACACGTTTAGTGGCTTCAAACAATGCAAATGTATTGCCCTGTGGTTCTGGAGATCGGAAGTCCAAAATGAGTCAAAAATCGGTCTGACTGGGCTAAGGATCAAGTAGGGCTGTGTTCCTTCTGGAAGCTCAAAGGGAAAGTCCCTTTTTCTTGCCCTTTTTCATCTTCTAGAATATGCCTACATTCCTTCATCCATTTCCATTTCAAATCCAGCAATGGTTTTTAAAGTCTTTCTTACATTACATCTCTCTGACATTGACTCTTTTCCACATTTGAAGGATCCCTGTGATTACACAGAGCCCACCAGGATAATCTAGGATAAGCTCCCCATTTCAAGGTCAGCTGATTAGCAACCTTTGTTCCCTCTTGCCAAGGACAGTGACATACTCACAGGTTCTGGGAATTAAGACATAGGCATCTTTGGTGGGCCATTATTCTGCTTACCACAGCCTCTCATTAAGAGTGTTGCAAAGAGGCAATTGGGCAAGCCCTTTAATGTGAAAGTCTTAAGGAATAGGAGGAAAAAAAGCTATTTCTCAAGAAAAAATTTGAGGTGGATGAACTCTATTCCCCAGGTAGTGTTTGAGCTCCTTCTAGAGCTTGCCCTTCCCTCTTGGCATCTACATGTAAGGCTGGGCTCATAGGTTCACCAGAGTCTCTAGAATAAATGCGCCCTTGGGTCTGTCTGACCTGGGCATGCTTTCTTTCTTTCTTTTTTTAAAGATTTTATTTATTTATTTGACAGAGAGAGAGAGACAGCGAGAGAGGGAACACAAGCAGGGGAAGTGTGAGAGGGAGAAGCAGGCTTCCCGCGGAGCAGGGAGCCCGATGCGGGACTCGATCCCAGGACTCTGGGATCATGACCTGCCGAAGGCAGACGCTTAATGACTGAGCCACCCAGGCACCCCCTGGGCATGCTTTCTCTTTTCCTTTTCTGATAATCAAATTGACATATTCCAACTCTCATTTTTTTTTTCAAAACTCTCCTTTTTCTGTGCTTCCCCCCCGCCCCACAGTGTGTGGAATAAATATATGAGTTCAAAGTATTTGCATTCATTTGTCCATAGTACTTCTAGGGTGATGCTGGAAGACTTGTTTTTGGGTGTTGGGAGAAACGTGTCTGTTGGAGTTGCTTATAGCCCACTAATCGCATCACATAAACGTGTCCTGCATATAGCCAGCCTGGTTTAAAAGTTCAGGGCCATTTGTGCTCAGAAGATAGCTTGGTATGTCTATATAGAGAAACTATTTAAGTATCTTATGAGAGTAGCAATTTTTAAAACATTCAACCCTTGGGTGCCTGGGTGGCTCAGATGGTTAAGCGTCTGCCTTCGGCTCAGGTCATGATCCCGGAGTCCTGGGATCGAGTCCCGCATCGGGGTCCCTGCTCCTTGGGAGCCTGCTTCTCCTTCTGCCTCTCTCTCTCTCTCTCCCTCTCTCTGTCTCTCATGAATAAATAAATAAAATCTTTAAAAAAAAAAAATTCAACCCTGGTATTGCTATACTAGAATTGTAAGAAATACAATTTTGTCCTGATAGCTGAGAAAAACTATGGTTTTTCACACCAATATGATAGCCTCTGAGATGTGTTTTTTGTTTGTTTGTTTGTTTGTTTGTTTTTCTTAACTGCTGTTTGGAATGGAACTACGTATCTTTTTTTTTTAACTTTTTCATCTTCCTTATCAAATGATGAATATACCAGTCCTAGTACCTCAAAATCAAGAAGGAAAAGAAGTGAGCTAGATATTCTGGCCTCCTAAAGATTGTTGATACTACAGTGTTCAAGGTGAATAATTTTTTTTAAGGCACACTGCTTCTTAAGAATCTCATCAATTATAAGGGCTCACTATAGCAGATAGCCTCCCATAAATAGAGGCAAATGTAAGAAGAATTTTGTAATCTTGGGAACAAGTTTGAATATGAACAGCCCAGGGTCAGGGCATGGAGGCTGAGTCATGTGCCTTTTTTCACACTCATCTCCTTTGCCAGTTGAGAATCCACGGTGAGCAGTCAGAAGGGAGGCAGATCTGGACAGTCTGTTCATCTTGGGGTTGGCATTCTTTCTCAGAGTCCTACGGATGAAGGCAGCATTGAGCCATGTCGGAGAGTGACAAGCAAAACTCTACAAAGCTTTTCAAGCAGACAACACGCTAATGTCATGGGATGAAAGAGTCAGTGGTGAACTATCAAATTTAGGTAACATAGGAGTGGGGTGAATTTCCCTGAAAAAGGCTAAAGGCAGGGGTCACAAAGTCTTCATGCAAAAGTCCCCCAGTATGGGGCTATGTGGGTGAGGTAGTCTGATGACCTCATATGAAATGTGGTTTTTAAAATCAAGATTGTACTTCCAACTCCTAGTAGATGGACCAAAGACAAAATACTAGTCCAAGTAACTGGACTAGTCACATACACTTGGTCAATGCTCATTTCTCCTCTTCTAGGGAAACATTCAGAATATCAGAGCACATGCTAGAAAATATCATGCTTGATTAACCAGAAAATCATGACAGCAAAAAGTTTAAGGAAAAAAATCAAGAGAGGGAAGACTAGTTGTTTGTGGACACACCCTTGATTCCATAATGATTAACCCACTAAGTTTCAAAGAATTTATAAGTCAACCTCAGACACAACCCTGCCAGAAGGCGGGCCTTGACACACACTGAATTTGAGCATATGGTCTCTTGGTAGTGTGCTCAGCTTTGGGTATGTGTAAGAAAATAGGCCCTGATAATTAAAACAGCACATTTGTTTATAAGCATAACTTGATCTGGGCATATTGCTAGCAATTTTAGCCAGTGCAATATTTCTTTCAGGACTAATTATTGATCTGAACTTGATATATATTCTAAATGATTTCTCTCACTAAGTCAGGAGAGTAAATGCTTTCTGTTGGGTGATGAACAGTTTCAAAGTTCTCTCGGATCATTCTGAATCGTGTAGGTGGAAATCTGGATACACAATTACACTGGAGACAGTCTCCTTTGGTAACTCTTCTTCACTAATCAAGTAATTTGCATTTCAAGATATCTACTTGGACCCATAGGAGAAATGATGAATCTGGTTTTCAAGATCATGTGCTTTTGCCAATTCTCTGTCATCTCAACTTTTGCCATTTTCATCACCGATTGTATAGACATGGAGGCATTTCATTTAGATATCTGGCCTGAAGCGAATGTCTCCAAATGTGTATCTGTGAGCTAGCCATTGGGGGTAGAGCACTGCAAAAGGCATTACCCTTGTAGGATGAAAGTCTAACTAATGGAATCACAGCAGGAGTGCCTCAGAATAAAACATCTACAAAGAGCAAAGCAGGGAGGACAATAGCTCTTCCAAGAATTGGTAGGCATTCTTCTAAAAGTCCCACGAGGCCTTGTGAGAAGACACATTTCCTATTTATTTGCAATCCTTGATTCTAGAAATATATTGGGGCTTACAGCATGGATAAATAGATCAAATCATCCCAATCAAAAAGAGCATGAAAGTAAAACCAGCTCTAACTCACAATTTGAAAGATGAACACCTCTCACTTAACTTTCAATTGCCACGTGGTATGTCATAAAATGATGGCAAAATGTGTGCCTTAAGGTCATGACTTCAGATCATGTCGGGAGATTGATCATGAGGTCATGTGATGCGCCGGTCTGTACCTGGGCTTGGGGGACTGATAGCCTGAGTGACAGTTTATCCTGGAACATAGAGTCAAATCAGTTGCCACCTTCTGGACAGAAAATGTTCTCTATACTTTAAGTTCTCTGACAAATACTTTAATACTTAAATGCAAATACTTAATATTAAGGCATTATATAGTCTTCTACAGTGAGTGTTCAGATTACAAAAGAATGTTCTCCTTTCATTCTCCTATTATTTAAACATTATTCAATACCTAGATGGTCATTTGACACTCATTTAAAAACCTATTTCATTTGTACTTGGCTCAAAATAAGGTGCTGATTAAAAAAGCCACTTTTCACCCCCTAATGCAGATAGATCCATACACCCCAAAATGCAGCAATGGAAATTGATTTTCTGCCACATATCATGAAATAATCAGAGAAATACAACATAAAGCAAATATTTACCCCCATGGGGAGAATGAAGCTCAGTTTTCCTAACGGACATCAGCAAAGTCCATGGTTTAAATTACAGATTAACAAAGGACTCATGAGCTCAAAATTAAGTTATTCTGTTTAAAATCAATCACTGAAACTGTCATTCTGCTTATTGCTTTGACTTCCTAACAAAGGTTTAAATGAAGACTTTATGTGCAAGTAGAGAATGGCAAGAGATCTGCTCTTTTTCAGACCTGCGTGGGCTGGAGGGGCAAACGTTTAGGCTATTAATGTAATTAGAATGAAGAATGTATTTTTCCAGGAAAAAAAAAAAATCTTTACCAAAAAAAAAAAAAAATCCCACCAATCCACAATTAATCTATTATCTGGGGTGGGGGGAGAATGGTAAGGAGTAGAAGGTGGGGCACATTTAGAAAGCACTAGATGCATTGATACCAGAACCATTCTGGAGGCGCCAGGCAGGAAATCTGGAATTACTCTAACTTTTCTTTGCAGAGGCAGGCACCAGAACTGGGGAAAAGGGTCCAGAAAGAAGATTGCCTTTGCTAGCAAAGTACATTCAGATTGTGGTGTTGAGGAAGAGCATTTTTGATCATTTGGCTTTGTGTTGGGTCACCACTCCAGTGCTGAACAGCTCCCCAATGGCCTTGTCGTTGTATCCGAGGACCTCCCTCAGGATGTGCGTTGTGTGCTGCCCGAGCAGGGGGGGTGGCCTGGCCTCTGACATCTTGAACTTACTGTATCTCACAGCTGGGCCTGTCAAAAGAGGAGGAAAGCAGGAAGCCTGTTAATGACTAACCCTAGGAAATTCATTACCCAAGCAGCCTGGGGTGTTTTCAGTGAATGCCAAGACTATCACTGCCAGTTACAAAATGGTGGCGCATTTTGGAAAGAAATGTATTTTTAGGTGAGGTTTTCTTGACTTGGTTTCAACCAGCTGTGCCGTGGTCATCTGACCTGCCCATGAGGGGGGCAGGGAGGGGGGTTGGGGGGGTATGTGTGTGTCTGGTGTGTGCCAGCCCATGCGGAAGTGGCCAGTCCTGTCACCAAGACTCTGGGGGCTCAGTCACTCAGCTTGGTTGACTCTCTGGATCCAAAAGAACAAGGACCACAGGTACATAGTATCTCTCTGAAGCTGGAATCTGACCCAGGTGAAGGTAATCTGGATGTTTTTTATTCAGTGTCTCCTATATAAACTATAAGGTTTAATTCAACAGACCGCAGATCAGCTAAAGCTCTGCTAGACCCTGCTGAAGACTTTTGGTGGGAAAAGAGGTGAAATGTGCAAGTTTTGTAATCAGGGAGATCTGGGTTTGCATGTGCAGTGCAAGGGGGAGGGGATATTCATTCAGCTGTTTGCAGAGCACTGAGCCACTGTGCACAGGGTAACTCAGGCAGGACTTTCAACAACTGTTGGAAATGGATTTTATGATCCTCATTCTCCACGGTAAGGACACAAAAGCCCAAAAAGCTCAAGTTTTGCTCAAGGTCACAAGACTAATAACTAATATCACCAGGACTCCCATCCATGTCCACTGGAACCGTCTTGCACTCTCTATAACCTTAGCAGCCTGCTCTTCCTTCTCCAGTTTTCCCCAGATAAGCTGTTTGGACACCACGGAGCATGTTGTTTCAGCAGATTTCTACCTTTGCTGCCTCACTCAATAAATGGTATTTCTGTTGGCTGTTCTTCACAGCTCATTTGATTAGGCTTCGGGAAAACAAATTAGATAGTCACAAGAAGACTACAAAACAATGCATTTCTATCTCATAAAAATTTTTCCAGCCTGCTCCTGATTTGGGGTGCACAGAGGAAGGACACGCAAAACCAAAGCCCATGTGGGTAACACAACATCAGTGAGTAGAGCAGCAAATGTGCTTCAAGCTCTTCGGAGAATTCCCTTAATAAAAAGTAAGCCACTGTTGATGATAGAGAGGACACAGACCTCCCCAGACCATCAAGCCACACTTTGTGAAACACACCATCCACTATGGACAAATGGCAACTTCCAACTGATGACCAAAGTTTTGCTTCTTTCTTCTCCTCACCCTTCTTTTTATTGCCTTAAATTGTATTTTTTACTGAAGTAGAGTTGACGCATAATGTTACATCAGTTTCAGGTGTACAACACAGTCTACCCATTATGCTGTGCTTCCCATAAGTGTTAGCCACCATCTGCTGCCACACACACTGGTGTGGTACCACAGACTGTGTTCCCTGTGTTGTGCCTTTCATCCCACTGACTTGTTCATTCCATAACCGGAAGCCCATACCACCCACTCCCCTTCACCCATTTTGCCCATCCTCCCCCTTCCCTCTGGCAACCACCAGTTTGTTCTCTGTATTTATGGGGCTGTCTCTGCTTTTTGTTTGTTTATTCATTTGTTCCATTTTTAGAAGCTGCAAAGAAGCTCACACTCGCTTCTAAATGCCCTAGTGCAGACTGCTTTCTCACTGGTCCATCTCCTTTCAGTCAAGGAGCACCCATTGGGAGGCAGGGTCCACTACTCTCATGAAAAGGTTGATAATTTGATGTTTTAGGGATGTGATCCTTATTCACTGCTCTCAAAGTGGGTTCCAATTTTGACATTAATGAACAAGTTTTAATCTAAAACATGTCTTTCAAAAGAAGGACGCCGCTGAGGGAATCAATGTCATGTGACTTCTTCCTAACTGAATGATCTGGAGTGAGACTTCCAGCTGGAAAAGAGTCACTTGACTACACCGAGAATCTGGGCTGGCCAATGCTGCTGGGAATACTGCTGGTGGTCCCACCACAGCAGCTGCCATTTTTTTCAGAACTTAGGGTGCATTAACCACTGAGCCATCATGTCTGAGAACCCTCACAACAATCCCGGACAGACACTGAAGGTCAAGGAGGCTTAGGGTACAAGTGTCAGAGTGAGGGTTCAGGTTAGGGAATGAGAATAACCTGTCCAACATCACCCAGGTGGGAAGTGAGAGTCAGTTCCCAAGTTTGTTGGGTGCAAAAACTTGGGTTTTTAAACAAAATAATAATTTGTTAAGGTGAAGTTCACATAACAGAAAATGAACCATTTAAAGGTGAACAATTTAGTGGCATTTCATATAGTCTCAATGCTGTGCAATGACCACCTCTATTTAAGAGTTGCAAGACATTTCCATCACTCCAAAGTCAGACTCTCTATCCCTGAAGCAGCTTCCCTCAACTCAGCCCTCCCCTGGAACTCCTGGTAACAACCACAAACCTACTTTCTGTCTCTGGAGTGATCTATTCTGGATATTTGCCTATAAAAGGAATCATACAATATGTGACCTTTTGTGTCTAGCTTCTTTCACATAGCATAATGTCTGAGATCCATCCATCTAGCAGCATGGATCAGTACTAAGAACCTGGACTTTGAGCCTCGATGTGGTGATGACAGGAAGGAATCTTCAGGTCCAGCCATACTAAAGGGCAGTTCAACTTGTGTTACTCCCACTATACACTATGCTTTCACGGTAGCTTCCAGATCTACCCCAAAGACTCTGCTACCAGTTCCGGATGAGAGGTATTTAACATTTTATGCAAAAAAGTCTTATTTTTTTATAAAGATTTTATTTATCCATTTGTCAGAGAGAGAGAAAGAGCACAAGCAGGGGGTAGAGGCAGGCAGAGGGAGAAGCAGGATTCCCGCTGAGCAGGGAGCCCGATGCAAGATTTGGATCGCAGGACCCTGGGATCATGACCTGAGCTGAAGGTAGACCCTTAACTGACAGAGCCACCCAGGTGTCGCCACAAAAAAGTCTTAAAGAATTTAGAATGGTATTACTAACTACCATTTACTAGAATGGTATTATTAAAGAACTAGAATGGTATTCCTTGGTTTTTAGACTTGTTAGCATAAAGGCACTTAGAAAATACTGTATGTTTGGAAAGCTTATGCTTCTCTAAATAATTGTTTGTTATTAAAGGAGCCATATCACAGGTTAATAAATTGTATGTGCTTTTCCCTAAGCCCCTTGAGAAATCAGGTATTTTGCATATGGTTGAGTTCAGAAAGATTCTGAAGCTGGGGTTCGTTCATGTAATTTAAGATCAAAGTATAGTGTATATGTACCTGTACTGTACTGGGAATTTTCAAATTGTAATTTTTATACATTTTTAAAATAAAGTATTGTTTTGCCATGCGGTTTATTAAAAAACAAAAATTTATAGTCTCTGTAATATATATATGCAATGGGACAAATAAAGGTGATATCCAGGTCCCAGAGCAAGCTAAGTTCCAGGGACATCCCTCCCAGTCTAGGTTTTGCACAGAGGGAATAAAGTCCTTTTAAAATACATTTGTCTCAAGAAGTACAAAATGTTTGACATAATTATTTACATCTAAGGTCCAGAAAGAATGAATAATTTGATCTTCCATTAAAAAAAGATGAGCAGATAAGTCACATGTTCTTAAATTACTTTCTGGCAAAGTCACATCTATGTTCACATACGCTTTCAAACACTTGCAAGCTGTGTGATCTTGAGAACTCTTAAAGTCCCTGAGCCTCAGGCTACATATTTCTAAGATGAGGTTGACAATACCTACCGAGGGTTGGTTTGAGCATCTGAGTAATATAATATGGGTGATATTCAATATCAGTAATAATCAAAGAAATACATATGAAGATAATAAGGTACAATTTTGTTTATAAAATTAGCAAATCTTGTGGCTATTTTGGTTTGTTTTTAAGAGGTCAGTGACCAGTAGGAATATAAATTGGTACAGTCCTCCTGGCGGGAATTTTGTCAACTAAATATGAAGAGTTTTAAAAGTGTTCCCATACTTGAATGGAGAAATTCTGCTTTAAAAATGTTCTTCTATGGGTTTAATCAGGATGTTGACAAATTCCATAGGCAAGGATCTACATAAATTTCAAAATATACTCAATACTCTTAATACCTATCTCCTTCCCACATAGCTTTCTAACTTACAGGCTGTAAGGGTTCTTTGTGTGTTATTCTGTACATGTTTTTAAAACACTTTTAGCTTCCAAAAGTTACTTTGTTAGGACTAGGTGCTTACCGACACATTCCTTCATATATTGTGCCCATAGGTCTATCTCCTACCCCTTCCTTCCAGATGAAGAGGTCACGTAGCTACCATATTGAAAAATATTTGGAAAATATGTCCAAAACTTGAGCACTGGTTAAATAAATTACAGTGTATTTAAATGATGGCAACCGGTCTGTACAGTAATTTCAAGTTGTATTTTGGGGGGTTTTGAACACAAATCACTCTCTCCTGAAATACCACTGACATAAAAGTTTAGAAGTTAAACAAGTAAATATAAAAATTCATGAGTGAAGAGAATGGGTGGTAGCATCACTAATGAATGAGATATTTCAACAAATTTAAGAATGACATGGACAGGATAATGTTGATGTGTTAAAAGAGGTAGAGGAAACGGGTGTTAATGGTCCATTTCACCCCCCAAGAGGTTGTGATCTTAAAATCAATGGTTATGAGAGAGACAGGTCTTAGAAGAGAAGTAGGACAGAAAGCAGAAGGATTGACTGTGTCAATTTTGACTGACTTACTAGTTTGTACTCGCAACTAGAAGAAAAATGAAGCTTGCTTTCAAGTTTCAACATGAAAATGATATTAAACCTACAACTGCCTACCCAAACAAATGATTAATCAAATACGAAGACATGTTCAAACTTTCAAAGATTAATAAGTTTATGAAGTTTCTTGATGTCGAATCCAGTAGAACATGGGAGTCAATAATAGAAGGATAAAATTCTGGT